CTATGCATGTTTGCATGAAGAAGAATTCTGAAAGAATACACTAGAAACTAAAAACAGTGATTCTCTATTGGAGACTAGGAACTGAATAGAGAGGAAAGAAGCCTGAGAGAGAGAGTTTTTTTTAATATACACCTTTTTATATGTATTTGCTACTATACAATATTAATATGTTACCAACCCAAAAATAGAATTCAAATAAGGATATGAAGAAGTAGAAGTTAAAAGAAGAAGAAATAGGTAACTAAGTTGTAACTAAGTTGTAAGGTATAAAAGGAAGGGGAAACTATAGTCAAGGTACTGATTAAAACAGCCAAAAAAGGGGAGGATTGCTTGAACCCAGAAGTCCAAGACCAGCCTAGGTAACACAGTGAGACCTCTTCTCTACATAAAATAAAAAAGTTAGCCAGGCACAGTGGCATGGCCTGTATTCCCAGCTACTTGGGAGGCTGAGGTGGTAGGATCACCTGAGCCCAGGAAGTTGAGGCTGTGGTCAACCATGAGCAAGCCACTGCACTCCAGCCTGGGTGACAGAGTGAGACCCCCAACTCAAAAAAAAAAAAAAAAAAAAGCCAAAGAAACTAAAATATGGATATCAAGGAATGTAGACTATGATTTATAGTTTTTCTCATCCTTACCAACATAGCACCACTGGTGCTGAACTTAAGCATGGGGAAAATTAAATGGAAATTAGAAATTTTTTAAAAATCGCCCAAAAAAGGGAAGATATTTATAGAAGCAAAAAAGACAACTCTGTAGTATGATGAGAAAAGCATAAGCTTTAGGTTAAAACCTGAATGAAATCCTGTTTCTCATACTAGCTGTATGAGTTTGGATAAATTATTTAATTTATGCTGGCATTAGTGCCTTATATCTAAATTGCCCAAGTCATTGGATTGAAATACATTTTAGAAAGACAAATTGTCAAAGCGTAAAAAGTACTTTAAATAAAAGTTCAATTCTGGATTCAAATGCTGAATATTAACTTATGGGGAAAATCACTTATTTGAAAACTACTCTTTACTCACTCTGAAGAACTGAGGAGTTATTGTGCCCATGAATTGTGTGGTATTTGCAGGGGATGGTAGGGAGTAAGGGAAGAGAGAGAGGTATGTATATACAAGGAAGGGAGCCAAAAACCCCAGAATTTATTTATAGAAAATTGTGTATTTAGTCTTACTTGTTAAACTTCAGTCACTTTCAAGGTGTTCTCTATTTGATGCAGTACACTTATTGAGATGCTTTTCCCACTACTCATAACAGTTTTTGAACTCATTAATTTTGATGCCTTTTAGTACTTCTGCCGTTTTTTGTTTCACCTCTTCCACATTAGCAAAACATTTCTTTTTGAGAACTTTTTTATCCAGAGAAACAACAAAAAAAAGTCACTCAGGGTAAGATCGGGTCGAAAACTGCTGAACACTTAGTGCGGTGTGGGCAGGTGTGTTGTCATGGTGGAAGAACCATGATGGTAGAAGAACCAGTCACCTGTTTGCTGCAACTTGGGACATTTCTTTTGCAAACTGTAATGCAACCTTCTCAAAACTTTCAGATAAAAACCTTGGTTGACTGTTTGATCCAGAGGAACAAATTCCAAGTGTACTACAGGGGACCCGCCCTCCAAAAGATAATTTCAGGTTTTTTTGGATGTCCCCTCTTATGTGCCAGGGTGGGGGGGAATGTCTCATAAAACAAAGGGGTTGTTTAAGAAGCATTGACTGTGGTGGAAATCTGGAGGTCACCCTTTTTAAATTCAAAATCCCTACTAGAAACAAAATGGTTTCTTTTCTGACCCTGGCATACGTCATGTGCCTTCTATTCTCAAACTATCTGCCCTTGTTGCCTTTTTTCTCCTCTCTCCTCTTATGTCAAAAGTATAAAAATCTGTTAAGGATTTATAGAAGATCTACCTACTTGATACCTGCTTTCATAGTTGCAACACAATCCTAAATTCTTTCATTTCTGTGCAGGTTTTTTCTTCCTCACCAGTGTATAAGTTCAAAATTCTTTGATTTCTGAAATAAATTTCCCACATACAAGCATACATACCTCATTTTATTGCACTTCGCTCCATTTTGCAGATACTTACAAATTGAAGATTTGTTGCAACCCTGCCCTGCCTCAAGCTACTCTGTTGGTGCCATTTTTCTAACACTTCATGTCTCTATGTCACATTTTGGTAATTCTTGCTGCAATATTTCAGACTTTGTTATAATCATATCTGTTATGGTGAGCTGTGATCAGTGATTTTTGATGTTACTATTGTAATCATCTTGAGGTACCACAAACCATGCCCATGTAAGACATCAAACTTAATAAATGTTGTGTGTGTTATGACTGCTCTACCAACTGGCCATTCCATCTTGTTCTCATTGGGTCTCACTATTCCCTGAGTTACAACAATATCTAAATAAGGCCACTCAACAACCCTACAGTGACCTCTACGTGTTCAAATGAAAGGAAGAGTCATACATCTCTCACTTGAAATAAAAAACTAGAAATGATTAAATGTAATGAGGAAGGCATATTGAAAGCTGAAATAGGCCACAAACTAAGCTTCTTGCATCAAAGAACCAAGCTGTAAATCCAGAGGAAAAATTCTTGAAGGAAATTAAAAGTGCTACTCCAGTGAACACATGAATGATAAGAAACCAAAACTTCCAAGATCAAGACATTAGCAGAAATAAATTAAAAATAAAATTAAAAAGCAAAACAACCATATTCCTGACATAAGAAAGCTTTAGTGATCTGGATCAGTCCAGCCATAACATGTTCTTCAGCCAAAAGGGTCCTTGCTTTGAAGTCTGAGAAGGGTGAGGAAGCTGCAGAAGAAAAGTTAGATGCTAGAAGAGGTTTTAAAAAAGAAGCTATCTCCATAACAAGTGTGAAGGGAAGCAGCAAATTCTGATGTAGAGGCTGCAGCAAGTTATCCAGAAGATCTAGCTAAGATCATTAATGAAGGTGGCTACACTAAAGAACAGATTTTCAGTGCAAATGACACAACCTTCTATTGGAAGTCGCTAGAGAGAAGTCAGTGCCTGACTTCAAAAGGCAGGCTGACTTCTTGTTAGGAGTTAATGCAACTTGTGAATTGAAGTTGAAGGCAGGGCTTATAGCATTCTGAAAATCCTAGAACTCTTAAGAATTATGGTAAGTTCTACTCTGCGTGTGCTCTAGAAATGAAACAACAAAGCCCGGATGACAGCACATCTGTTTACAGCATGGTTTGCTGAATATTTTAAGAACTCCTCAGAAAAAGAAGATTCTTTTCAAAATATTACAGCTCTTTGACAATGTGCCTGGTCACCCAAGAGCTCTGATGGAGATGCACAGAGAGATGAATGTTTTCATGCTTGCTAATACACCATCCATTGTGCAGCTCATGGGCCAGGAGTACCTTTGACTTTCAAGTCTTATTATTTAAGAAATATATTTCATAAGGCTGTAGCTGCCATGACAGTGATTCTTCTGAAGGATCTGGACAACATAAACTGAAACTTTCTGGGAAAGATTTGCCATTCTAGATGCCATATGTGATTCAAGAGAGGAGGTCAAAATGTCAATATTAGCTGACTTGTATTTGGAAGAATTTGATTCAATCCTCGTGAGTGACTTTGAGAAGTTCAAGATTTCAGTGGGGGAAGAAACTGCAGATATGGTAGAAATAGCAAGAGAAATAAAATTAGAAGCGGGATCTGAAAATGGGACTAAATTGCTACAATCTCAAGATTGAGCTTGAATGGATGAGGAATTGCTTCTTATGAATGGCAAAAAAAAAAAAGTGAATTCTTGACATGAAACAAAGGATTTAAAGCTTAGTTGGATAAAACAGTGGCAGAATTTGAGAAGATTGACTCCAATTTTGAAAGAAGTTCTACCACGGGTAGAATACTATGAAACAACATCACATGCTACAGAGATATCGTTCATAAAAGGAAAAGTCAACTGATGCAGCAAGCTTCATTATTTTCTTATTTCCAGAAATTACCATGGACACCCCAGCCTTCAGCAGCCACCACCCACCCTGATTGGTCCACAGCCATCAACACCAAGACAAGACTCTCTACCAGCAAAAGATTACAACTGGCTGAAGACTCATATGAGTATTAGCATGTTTAGCAACAAAGTATTTTTGAATTAAGGTATGTACATTGTTTAGACATAATGTTATTGCACACTATACTCTAGACCAAATGTAGAGGACGCATAATTTCTACATGCACTGGGAAACCAAAAAATTCATATGACTCACTTTATTCCATTATCGTGGTGGTCAGGAACAGAACCTGAAATATCGCCAAGGTATGCCTATAGTTTTCTTTTTTCTTTCTTTCTTTTTTTTTCTTTCTTTTTTTATGAAAGTTTATTCTTAAGTGTACAACAGGCTTCAAGACAAGACTTCATTCTAGCTACAGGTGGCAAAAGAAGTTGTCAGAGAATATAGGTGTTAAATATTAATGGAATCAAGAGTCATCATGGCTTATGGAACAGCTTACTTTTTTACCAGATTTCTTAATTCCACCTGTGGCCAGCGGGGGGCCTTTCCCCGTGGCCTTCATTTTTACCTCCCTGAGTTTCTTCCTCTTTTTATTTCTCCTTGAAAGCTTTGTCTTCCTCATCCAGCTCCTTGGCCTGCTTCTTAGGCTGTTTCAGGGGCTTCTTCTTGCCACATTCATGACTGGACATGGTTCCTGCCGCCTAGTTTTCTTAATTGTTGAGATGAGATAGCTTTTTTTCTCTTATAACAAAATTTTTAAAGTTTAGATGCAAGGATCATTCCATGCATGTTTTTATGTCTTGAAAGATGATAGACATATACTAATTGTCTATATGATAGACATATACTAATTGTTTGGCCTGCATTACTCAAGAGTCCTGAGGACTCTCAGCACACCAATTTTAGACATTCAAACCTTTGTCTGGTGTTGCACTTTCACCCCCATTCCCTGAGGGCTCTTGAAAGAGTTGTTTCTGACTGACCAAGGATGTGCTTGATGTTTCAGGAATTATTGACATTCCAGGACGTAGCTGTAGACTTCACCAGAGAGGAGTGGGCCCAGCTGTACCCTGCTCAGAAGAACCTCTACCGAGATGTGATGTTGGAGAACTACAGGAATCTGGTCGCACTGGGTAAAGATGGTGTGTCCCTGTGAAACTGAAACCATCCATGTGGGTGTATTTCCTTAAGTAGTAAAATCCTCTGAAGCTTTTGGGACTACAGTTTAATTCAGGACAAAAGGATGCTAATCAGTTTTGGAGACAAAGACCTTTGTTTCCTGCTCTTTCTCCTTAGGTGGAAGGTCTTGACTTTGTTGAGTTGAGATGGGTATCTTTATTTGCTGCCTCTGAAGCCTCTTCTCCAGACGCCCTAAAGACTAAAAAGGATGGATGTGGGTTCTGAGAAAGACTTCTGTTTCCAGTATAAATTCCTAAGACATACTTTTTTTCCCATGAATAGGGCATCAACTTTGTAAGCCAGAGGTAATCACACAGTTGGAGCAAGAGGAACAGTGGATGATAGAAAGAGACAGCCCACTGGACACTCATCCAGGTAAGAAGCATTTAGGCATTTGCTACTTAGGAAAAATAAACACTTTTGAAATATTCAATGGAGTGTTGCTCAAAAGAATCTCCCTCTAGGATTTAAAGAATACTGAGGCCTTTAAAAAATTCAGTTCAAGCCGGGCTCGGTGGCTCAGCCTGTAATCTCGCACCTTTGGGAGGCTGAGGTGAGTGGATTGCCTGAGCCTGTGGGTTTGAGACCCGTCTGGGCAGCGAGACCTCATCTCTACAATAAATCAAAAAATCAACCGGGCGTGGTAGCGCATTCCGGCTACTCGGAAGGCTGAGGCAGAAGGATCTCCGGAGCCCAGCAGGTCGAGGCTGCGGTGGCTGGGAGCAGCCACTGTACTCCAGTCTGGGCGACAGAGTGAGACTCCAACTCAAAAAAAAAATTCAGTTCATACTTTATTTCTTTTTCAAAGTGGAAATGGCTGTCTTATTTTTTTTCTGATTGAATGGATAATATATGCTTATAGAAAAGATTTACACAAAACAAAGGTTATTTTGAAGGTATTACTTTAAACATCCCTAAATGCCCCGATAGTGCGGATATCCACATAGCATTTTCTTTGTATTTTTTACTCATATATTCTCTCTCAGTATTCTTTAAATCTTTATTTTCCATATCAAAAATCCTCTACCATTTTTATCTACTTTTCATTTTTTTCATTTTTCTTTTATTATCAGACTATTTAAATTAGTCTACCAGCCATGGCCTAACTTATTTTATTTTTATTTACTTATTTATTTGTTTGTTTGTTTAGAGTTGGGGTTCTTGATCACAGCTCACCACATCCTCAAACATCTGGACTCAAGCAGTCCTCCCATCTCAGCCTTCCAAGTAGCTGGAACTACAAGCATGTGCTATCACAACCAGCTGATTTTTTTTTTTATTTTTGTTGGGACAGGTCGCACTATGTTACCCAGGCTAGTCTCAAACTCCTAGGTTTAAGCAGTGCTCCTGCCTTGGCCTTCCAGAATGCTGAGATTACAGGCATGAGCCACCACTCCCAGTCCCACAGCCTAATTTCTAATTTTCTTGTTCATCTTTGTGATATAATGCTTATTCTACCTGTGCTACTAGAATTGATTTATTGGAGATTACCACTAATTTCCTTCCAGTCAAATCCAGTGGCCAAAAAGTCAATTATGATTGTGTTGACTTTACTTACCTTACTGAATTTTCCTTCTACCCTGGCTTGTGATGTGCACTATTTTTGTCTCTTCTAGTTTCTATTCTATATCTCCACCTGCTCTTTTACTGCCTTTACTTCCTCCTTATTCTCCTAAAGACATGCACTCCTATGGACTTGGTGCACCACTCTGCAGTGCAGTGCTTTTAACTAGCCCTTCTGTGTCGTTTTCCTGTTTTTACATTTCTAGCACCAGTATTTCACCCACATTCTTGTCTCAGATTTTAGATTTTTTTTTTGTTGTTTACCAATGCTACGCTGTCATTTTAATTACCTATTCCAAAACCTGGATCTGTTGGCTTTAAACTATCTTCTTTAAAGCATTCCCTTAAATATAGGATTTCTTAAACCCCCCCCCAAAAAAGCCACCCAACAACCTTAGTTCCCTATTGCTCACGTACCATCTATAATGTTCTGCCTGGTTATTTTTGCAAATAGTCAACTGCTAACTCTTTGCCAAATGCCAAGTAAGGTATATTCCACTCTGGTCCATTAAGCCAGGCTAACCTACCCCATCTTTATGTAATTCCCACTCTGATTCCTTGCTCAGGCCCTTGGTTTCATTATGTGGACTTGGTTTTGTGTCATTTAAACTTCAACTTTTTCAAATTGACTTCGACTTGGCTATCCTTCTTGCTTTAGTGCCTTAGATTATCTTAGGTAGAAAACCTAGTTCCTATTTCAGCCTCACAGAACCAGAATTTTGACCTTACCAGTACTTACATTCCATGAGTAGAGATTGTTAACTAAGACATTTTGTCAAGAACCCCTGGAACTTTTCCTAACAACAGTGGGACATATTTCTACAACCGTCCAAATCCCTGAACCCGGGAAGTAGGAAACTAAAGGAAGAAGTGAAAAACCTCTCTTTTCAGGTGAATTTCCAGGGTAA